CCCCGGCCTTGTGGGCTGCCCATGGTGTGAGCTGGTCTTGGGGCCCCATCTTCTGGATGAGGGTATGTGGCCATGAGCCAGGAGGTAAAGACAAGCCACAAAATAAATCTGGCCAAATTTGAAAGTTTTAGGGGGAAGAAGCCCATTGTCTTTATTTAAAATAAATTCAGCATATTGTGTATTTGAAAAGGCAAAATTTGCATGAATTATTAGAATTAAACAGAAGGCATACAGAAATTTTCAAGTCCTGTTAGTAGCTTGTGGTCAGCCCTCTAGGCACCTCGCTGGTCCCCTCAGATCCGCGTGTGCCCTTGGTGGGAGCTATTTTAGGAAAAAACTTTGAGAAGCTATGTCCCTATTCTCTGGACTGTAAATTCCTGGGAGGAGGCTACTGTCTGAAGCAGATGAGATGCATTTCATTACTGAATAAAGACCAGGGTGTGCATGTGGTAGGGGTGGGGATCCTGGTGGATGCAGAGGGCACACGGTCCATAAGGAACCCACCTGGGTCGGAGTGGGGCCCCATAACTTGCATTTCTAACAAGCTCCCAGGTGGTGCTGATGCTGCTGTCTGGGGGCCACACACTGAGAACCACTGCCTTACTGCTGCAAGGAAGTCAGGGCAGCCCAGGCCTCTTTGCTTTGCTATGCTGCTCGTTGGTCTCGGTGAGCTTTAATTGAAGGGGGAGGACTAACATCCTAAGAACTTGGGGAGTTCCTGGCAAATAGTGAGGTAGCTGCCATTACTGCTGGCCCCTTTTGGTGGCAAATGATATGGCCCAAATCTCATTGGCGGGAACAATTTTATGTTGGTTAAAAATAATTTTGGTCAGAAACTAATACCTGTAGTCACTATTCCCAATCTTAGCTCCAACTGGTACAGTTTTCCAAAATTTGTTTTTTAAACACTTTCTAATTTAAGTTCAGTCTTTTATCCTTCTCTATGGGGGTTGTGGCAGGGAAAAGTTAAAATAACCCAGTGTCTAGTAACATGGGATCAATTTGAACAACCTAAATGTTTACTAATTGGGGAATAGTTGGAACAAACCTAAGACACTGGCTGGTCCACTGCCTGTCTGCTCTTAGATCCATCCCGCCCTCCCCTTGCTCGCTCAGTTTCTCAGGGCACCATAACTGAGGGGCTGAAGAACTCTTGCCCTCTGGATCCGGCTAGGTCCCACCAATGGAAGGTGCTGGTGGAAGACTAGAGGGGAGTGGGGAGAAGCCATGGTATTTCTCCCTTTCTCTCTCCCTGATTTGGACAGTATCCTGTCCATCCCGGCCGTGGCCAAATCTCCTCCATAGCTCTAGATGCTCAACAGCCCGCCCTCCACGTGCCAGCAAGAACCGCGGCGCCTCACCTTCTAGCCCCAGCATCCGGTTCTGCGTCTCACCCGAGGGTGGTCATGTCTCCCAGCCTTGACCATTTGTCCTGCCTCGCCATCTTGTTTAGTTCCCAGCTCTTCCAAAACCTGCATAATCCACTGATTATAACTTCCCTCTGTTTGAAAGGAGGGGTTCCCATTTCTGACTGGACCTTGCCTAACACAAATAATATCCTGGCCAAAGGCTTTCTAGCTAAGTTACTAAATAATATACAACAGTATTGGATTCTGTAAAAATTGGTATTATCTAAGGTACATTGCTGCTTGCTGCATGCCTGACATAGGCAAGGTCATGGTCGGGGGTGGGTGTCAGTGGTGGTTGGGAAAGGGACTTTAGTCCCTCCATCATCTCCATCAAGTTCTCTTCCCTTTCCCACTCCAAATCAGTGTGTTTGCTGTGCAACGTAACTTCCAGACAAGTCTCCTATCTTAGGTCTCCCTTCCAAGCTCTTAAACTCTTACTATATATAGACATTGTAAAACTGCCACTGGATAAAGTATAGGGGACATAAGGACCTTCATACTATTTTCAGTAATCTCATGAAAATACTCAATATCATTAATGGGTGGAAAGTGATGGTGGTTAATATAGAAGTTTAGATGTTCTTTATGTCTGCTAAAGTACATAAGGTGTTCCCTATTATTAGTATAGGTGCCAGGCCGTATCAATTCACTCTCCGTTATCAATATAGTGCAGGAAGCTGATTTTTAATACGCCCCTAAAGGCTTCAATGAGGTTCCAATTCAATAGCTTAAGACAAATATGTAAAACTCTTAGAGCTGGTAATCCAGACATCACCGTGTGCCGATCAGTGTGCTTCTAAAGTACGGGTTGATGAAGTCATGCAAGTTATCAGACAGCTTTGAAGAGAAAGTGGCTGAGACTGCATATAGAGCTCAACGAATCACATACACAATCTCATTTAAAATGACAGATTTTCTTCAGTGATACAGAATTAGATGTTTTCCCCAAATTCTGCTACTTGGGTAGAATCTTGTTTGCTGATGAACTAATAGACCACATCATTGAAAACCAAACCAAGCCTAGTGTTCGGGGATCATCACTGCAGCACCAAGATGCAGACCCAGCCAAAGACAGGGGGCAGGCCGTGACCTTCCGGACAGCTTTTAATTTCTGAGAATATGAGTAAGTGCACTTTGGAGAATCCTCAATAATAGAATATCTGAGAAGATTTTTTAAATCTGAAATGAAGATGATGTGTTTTCACTTAACATATGCAGTGCTACATCTTCTTGTGGGATTCAGTGGACCCCCTTCTATCATACTCTTGGCCATCACGGTAACAGTATCGTCTGACAAAACTCATCTCAACTCAGTTTGTTGGGCTGATCTTCCTGACTTTGGTTCAAGTTACATAGGAAGCTCAGCATCACCAAACTTAGGTAGGGTATCTGCTTAAAAACATCAGAGACACTCTTGGCATTAGTGTGTAATCACTTTCATTTTGATGGCCACATTAGCCAGAGGACTGGTCAAAGAACATGTATAAAATCATATAGGGGGTCTAGAACAAGAGGAAGAAGAACTTAAAAATCCAGTACGTAGAAGACAGCATAGTGTTCTAATTAAGGGAGTAGGCCCTGGAGTCAAAATCTGGATTGGCCTGTTATAAGTTGGGTCTTGAGTCTTGAGTAAGCCACTTAACTTCTCAGTTTTGCCAACCATTAGACAGTAACACCTAAATGTTCCTACGAGGATCACACGATTTAAACATACGATGGGCCTGGCAAAGTTTATCTGGCAAGCAGTAGGTTCTTAATAAATGTTGACTGCTCTCATGTTCATGGTCATCGTCTGTGAGCATATTCTTTAACCATTGGGTGCCAGTCACTTTTAGACACTGTGAGTAGAAACGGGTATTGTTCTGATCAAATCTTCCCAAGAACCCCATGGGAATCAGGGCGTGTCTCCAACACAGGGTATGTCTCTAATTTTGGTTAAGTAGCCTTATCTGGGATGTGGGAGAAGTCTAGAAGAACCCGAAGCATTTAGAAAAAGTTAAGTTCTGGAAATGATGAGGAAGTTTTAGAGGACATGATGTAGAAAGAAGTTTATATAATACAGTCTTGTAAGGCTACAAATAATGATAGCTTGAGAAGCAAGCACAGCTCAGGGCTAAATGCTTGGACTAAACTAGTTCTGGGTAATTCCCAGTATTCTAGAGTCCCCAAACCATGAAGAATCTTAGAGAACATCCCACCCAACCACTTTATTTTATAAATGTGCTTCTGGACTCAGGGCTGGAAGCATGAACTGGTCAGAGGACAAGAAAAAACAGGTTGTCCCATACTTGTAGATGACTCTATGTGTGCAGAATTGGGACCCAGTGTCTCTTCGAAGTATAGTAAAAATAGTTTTTGCACTTGAAAAGACCGAATAAGGTTCTCTGAGCACCTACTGGAGGCAAGACACTCTGCTAGTTACTAGGACACAAACAGGTTGAAGATCTCTGCTGTCTGTATAGGGCTCACCACCCATTCATGCGACAAACAGTTCACTGTTATGTGCCAAGGACTGAACTCTATTCCAGGGATCTGGAAAGAGTTATACCATCTAGCAAGGGAAACAGATATATAAGTAGATGACTAATATAGTGTTATTAGTATGAGATTGAAATATGTCATACAATATGTTATATAAGGTGAGGAGTGCCTGAGCAATCTTGGGAAGATTAAGAAAGGCTTGTGGGCGAAGGCGAACAGATAATGCTCCTGGTGGAGTTCCAGAGCACACCGTGGGGGGAACACAATGCGAAGGCAGGAATGCTACCTCTTACACTGTCTCTCTTAGACCTGCCCTTTCCTTTCCATGTGCACAGCCATTGCCCTGTCCTAAACCATTATCACCTCTTTCTTACTTGAATTAATTACTGCAATATCCTCCTGTGACCTGCATCCACTCGTGTCATCTAATACATTTGCCACATGGAAGTCACATGATCTTTTTAGGACACAAATCTGAATCATACCACTCCCCTGGCTAAAAGTTTTCAAAGGTGTCCAATGCCCTCAGGACAGTTAATAACATATGATGATGAAGATGATGATAAAAATATCCAACTTACACGGACCTTCCTATGTATCAGGTGTTAATCTACACGCTTTATAGGATAATTGATCCTCATTATTTGTGGAGTCCATATTTGTGAACTCATCTACTCACTAAAATTTATTTGTAACCCCACAATTAACCCCAGCAGTGCTTTTGCTGTCATCTGTGGACATGTGCGGAGTGGCGAAAAATTGGAGTCATCTGATGCACACATTTCTAGCTAAGCTCAAAAGAGGCAGTGCTCTGCTTCATCTCAGCTCTCATCTTGTAAATCGTTCAGCATGAAGACTTTGTTGGGTCGTGTCTCATCTCACATGTTTTAGAACTGCATCCCCCAAACAAACAAAAGTAAAAAGGAAATAACAGAATTCTACTCAAACCCGAATGAGCCAGAAAGAAATAGACTTTGGGGATTGCTCTGTCTACTGACTTTAATGTTTTAGGTAATAAAAACTGTAGTGAAAGACTGAGTAATAGAAAATTTAATGGAAAATGGAAAGAATAGACCTTTTTCCTAAATCATAAAAAAGAAAATAGCTTACCTGCTGTGGAGATTGTCCATTAGGTTTCTCTAGAAGTTTAACTTCTCCTCCTGCAACAACAAAAAAGTTGCAAATTGAGATCTGCAAGTTGCCTCCTTTTCACAGCCAAGTTGCATCTCGAAAGTGACAGCAGAAAGCATTTCCCGAGGGGTGGTAGGCAGTGACGACGGGGAATGGAGTTGCCGGCCTGGAACAGCTAGCCCAGGCCAACAAGGGCTTTGAAATTTGCCAGGCCTGGGTTTGCAGCCCAGCTCCTGACACTCAGCAATCAGTTAGCAATTTACCCAAATTTCAGTGTTTTCATCTATAAAATAAGGTTGTAGTGAGAGTTAAATTGCACAACATGTAAGCTGTTTATCACACACTGGGCATGGTGGAATTATTCCATAACCAAAAGCTATTGTTGTTATTTATTATTGTTGATAAACATTACATGACAGTACACCTCTTCTCTGATGGGTAAAGTTTCAACTAAGCAGAAAAAAAATTCAAGGAATTTGCTTCTTGGAGACATATCAACAACCCAAGTTTCAATGAATACACATATAATATTTCAATAACATACATAATTTAGAAAATAGCTTTGCTTATAATGAGAATAATGATGTACAGAATTTGAGGAAGTAAAGCAAATGTCCAGATTTTTACCAACTTCTCTGTGATTATTTGAATGATTCACTATAAACAAACACAATTTTTTCAAGAAATGCTCTTAGCCCACTTCCAAGTAAACGACATCTTGAGATAATGAATTCTGCCTCAAATTTATCACATAATATCTGAATGGTTTCATTCTTTTGGTGATTCAATTTCATATTCTTGTCAGCAATGTCTTTTCACTCAGTATTATTTCACATTGTTTTTTTTTTTTTTAATTTTTTTAAATTTATTTATTTTCCCCCCAAAGCCCCAGTAGATAGTTGTATGTCACAGTTGCACATCCTTCTAGTTGCTGTATGTGGGACGTGGCCTCAGCATGGCCGGAGAAGCAGTGCGTCGGTGCGCGCCCGGGATCCGAACCCGGGCCGCCAGTAGCGGAGCGTGCACTTAACCGCTAAGCCACGGGGCCGGCCCTCACATTGTTAAATAATTCTTTAAAATCTAATACATCACCCAAATGTCACTTGATTCTATTATTCTTAATTTTTACCACAGTATTCATAATTCAACTCAAATATTTGGTAAGGAAGACATGAGTATGGTAAAGTTCATGCCCACAGGGAGCTAACCATCTAGTTGGGGAAGGCAAGGAGACAAGAAGAGTTCATAAATCACTAAAATATTATGCAGGGTACAGATAATGCCACTAGAGGAACACAAACAAAACCTGAGGAGGTTCAAGACTAGGAGATCTGTAGCTGGGCTGACAGCACCTGAACCAGGCATTCATTGAAAGATGAGAGGAACTGTGGCAGATGGAAACATAATGATAGTGAGGTGTGGTAAGAGGGCCTTTTGGGCAGAGGGAACATGACAAAGAGGGGTCAGGAAAGGATGGCGTATTATTTAGTCAACAAATAACTGAATACCTACTGTGTGCCAGGCACCAAGAAACTGCAGTGGATGGGACGCCATGTTGTGTGCCATACAGAGTGACAGCCTGCTGTGCAGAAGAGTGAATATTCTGGATTGCTTGGTGTTTAAAGAACTTGGAACTTGTCATGTGATTGGCAGAGAGATATTACAACCAGTGATAAGTACTTTGTAGGAAACCAACTTGTTGTGGCAATTTGGAGATACAGGAGAGAACCTACTTAGACTGAAGGATGGACCTTTGAAGAGGCAGCATTTAAACCAGGATCCAAAGGATGAGATGGAGCCAGTCATGCAAAAAATAGCTCTCAACAAGCCACTGCCCTGTTAAGAAGCCTTAAGTGGTTCTGCATGGCCTACCAAGTCTTTAATATCCTCAGCTAAGCATTCAAGGCCTTCCACAATATGGCACCAATGGCCTTCCTAGATTCTCTCTGAAACTCCTCCAGCCATTGGGTTTTTCACTATTTTCTAAACATGCCTATATTTTCCTGTTTCTATGGCTCTGTACATATTCTTTCCCCCAGCTGGCATGCCTCCATGCTCAGTGACATTTTGCAAAATCCTACTGATCCTTCAAAACTCATTTCACACACCACTTCCTCCATAAAGATTTTTTAAAATCCCAACTAAAGGTAATTACTCTTTTAATTTCTATAGAATCTTTCATCTCTTGGATGGCTCTGATCATTTTCTGCCTGAGTCCCAGTAATTCACTTATATAATGTTCCCTCCATTAGACCGTAAACTCTTAGTAGGGAGGGGTCATGGCTTTGTCATTGTTTACCTACATGTTGTATCTCTTCACAGTGACCTGCATTTAGGTGGTACATTGCATGTCTTTTAAAAATTTGACTTAAAAATATCACTGACAATTTTAAGATGCCTAATACTAATGTATAATATTATAAAACAACAATGTACATATTTTATGAAATCTAAGATGCACATGTATTTATTTACCTTTTTTTTTTTTTTTTGTGAGGAGGACCAGCCCTGAGCTAACATCCAATGCCAATCCTCCTCTTTTTTGCTGTGGAAGACTGGCCCTGGGTTAACATCTGTGCCCATCTTCCTCTACTTTATATGGGACGCCGCCACAGCATGGCTTAACAAGCGGTGCGTCGGTGCGCGCCCAGGATCGAAACAGGTGAACCCGGGGCTGCCGCAGCGGAGCGCGCACACTTAACCGCTCGCGCCACCAGGCTGGCCCCTCATTTACCTTTTAACATCTCTGAAACTGGAATGCATCTTACAATCATTGGCACATCACGGTAAATTGGCAGCATTGTTTTCTATTTTTGTGGGGCATAAGATAATGGTACATGTTACAATTGATGACATCAAATATTCAATGAAATATGGTATTTTAATCCTACATTATAGTTTATTATCTCAGGAACATATTATGCACACATTTTATTAAAAATATCCTATGTTAAACGAGTGTCTACCTTGGGCACAATTATATAAACAAATGTAATACACGGCTCATTTACCCAAGTAACTTCTAAGAAGAAAACTAACAATATGCAGAGATGGAGTAAGAATTTTACGAGCTCTAAGCACTATAAAGATCATGTATCAAAGTAAAAACAATAAGCATAACATAAGACACTTGAAAAAAATTCTATTTTTTTTCCCAGGATGACTTTTTAAAATAAATTTCTTCAAAAGGAAATATTTTTGGCACACCTGCTCTGCTGATGCCTTAGGTACATGACTAATTTGTTTGTTGGGCAAGATAGCATTAAAATTACGTTGGGTTGTACATGGTGAGGACTCAATGACTGGCACAGCCAGTGGGTGCTAAGCATCATGGGAGTTTGGGAGAAGAAGCAATCCCAGTGCGGTGGAGATGCCAGGAAAACTTCATGGAAAAATGGGAACATGAGAGATAGGCATAAATTAGTCAGGCAGAGAGGACACTTTTAGTAAAAGCAAAAGGATAGGAAAGAATATGACTTGTGCAGAAGACAATGGAGAGAACCATGCTGTGGATTTTGGGGAAAGATATGGCATAATGCCACCAGGTTCCTGAGGCCCTCGAAAGTAAGCCCAGAAGACCAAACATGACACGATTGGCAAAGCGAGTAGGTTCTTGAGCACAAATGACAGGATGGTAGCAATATATTAGAAAGCCTCATCTGCTAGTAGTAAGCAGGGAAAATTAGGAGGTTAGGTACAGAGAGACTTGCTAAGAGCTGATCCTTTGAATTAAGTGACGAGATAAAAAGAGCCTGATGTATCGTGGTATTGAAGGGAATTCAGAAGAAACAGCAAATCCGGAAAACTATTTTTTCAAGCTTTCCTTGATTTTTGAGATAAGCATTAATTTCTACCATCCCTGGTTTCTCTTAGCACTTTGGTTTATATATTTATTATACATAGCGTCTTAGGAAAGTTATGTTGCCTCACTGTTTCCTTATGTTAAAACGAAAATTATAATAGTGCCTTTTTCAGAGAGGATTTAGGATTAAGTGAAAGAACACAGTAGAGCACAGAGCACAGTGGTTGATACAAACTACAATCTCAACAACGTCAGCTGTGATTTTTCATTCATTCTCATTGACGTCATCATCATTCATCATCATCATCATCTGTTAGTCAGTTTTCTATGTTTTTCTCCACGCCACTACACTGGAAGTTCCTCGAATCCAAATATTGCATTTCATTATCTTTGTTTCTTCAAAAAGAAATACAAAGTAGGACTTCTGCAAATATGTACTGAATTTTAAGGAAAAAAAAAAGCCAGACCTCCATGAAAGAAGGGATTCATGTGACAAAAGAAGGAATTATTAAAATTATTCTAATTCTTAGAGGCTGACAGGTAGTTCCATAAACAGGGCAGTTGGAAGGAGAACCATGTGCAGTATTTGAGAAATCCTGAACTCCGCATTTAGCCTACTAAGTGATCAATGGGGAGACAATAAGAGAAAGGTGGCACTTTCCATTAACGGGTGGGGGGTGGGGCACAAAGTCACAGAGAGCAACAGAGGAGATAAAAACAGAAAGCCCACGGATGTGAAGTAACTGACCTTCCTAGTAAGTCAGCAGCGTGGAAAGCCAAGAACTAGCGCAATTTAGAATGCAGAATCCTGAAAGGCTTTAGGAAAGTAGGAATGACGAGGGGAGGGCTAAAATCAGGATGATCTGGAAGGTGTTTAAGAGGTGGTTAGGTTCCTAAATCCCCTTCTGTACTCCTGGCCTTGAGGTGGTTTCCACTCTCCATCTCAACTGAAGAATGTAAGTTTAGTGCCTGAAAAGGATAAAATAGGATTTTTGGGCCAGGAACACAATAGAGAATACACTGCAACGGGCAGGGGTTCCAAACCCAAAGCTGGGAAATTAAGTGAACGTGTGCACAAGGAATGCTGAGGCCCTCGGCTGCTCCCCTCCCTGCCTCTGGGAATGCTGGCAGCCACCCTGAGCTGTCCTCCAGACATCTGAGGAAAGTCTCTACCATGAAAGACAGACATTGAAACCAACCAACCAACCAACCAACCAACCAATCAACAAGCACTTGACACAAAGAGTAGGGAGAAGAAGACAAAAACAAAAACAAAACAATTGACAATAATATCCTCATCATGTCACCTGCATCCAAAAAGAACAGAGGCTATTAAAAAAAAAAATCAGAAAACAACAACAAAAAAAGCTCTTGGAAATTAAAACAAAGACAGGAAAAATGAGTATTTCAATAGAGAGTCTAGAAGAAAAGGATGGGGAAATCTCATATAAAGTAGCAAAAGAGA